GTCACTCTGCTATGCCCACCAGCCAATCAGGATGAGTATGCAAATTAACCCAACAAAGATGGCAGTTAATTTGCATATGCAGGTGTGGAGCGGAGACTGAAGACAACTGAAGACTGAAGAGGCTTGGCTTCTCTGCTGCGGCCGGAGTGGAGAAGCCAAGCCTCACTGCTGCAGCCCGAGTGGAGAAGCCAAGCCTTGCTTGGCTCGAGGCTTGGTTTCTCCGCTGTGGCCAGACCAAAGGCCTGGGTCGCGGGTGCCAGAGGAAAACCGGTGCCGGCAGCCAGGGTAAGGAAGGCCTATTGCGCGAATCTTCATGCAACGGGCCTCTAGTTATATAATAATAAAAAGTCAATTCATTATGTGTATATAACAATTATAAATACATATTCATCTAAAAAAGGCAGCACCTAAATATATTAAATAGATACTAACAGATATGTAGGGAGAATGAATGAAAAAATATTATTATAATAGTGGAATTCAATACTCCCCTTTCAACATTGGATAATTCATCCACACAGAAAATCAATAAGAAAACATTGGGTGTTAACTGTACCTTAGAAAAATGCACTTAACCTATAAATACAGAACATTCCACTTATCATCAGCAGCATACACATTCTTCTTCAGCAGAAATGGAACATTCTCTAGGATAAATCATCTTTAGATCACAAAAAAACCTTAGCAAATCTAATACAATTAAAGTTATGCCAAGTATTTTTTATGACCACAATGGTATGAACTAAAAATCAATAATAGGAGGAATACTGGAAAATCCACAAATGTGTTGAAATTAAACAACATACTCTTAAACAACCAATAGGTCAAGAAAGTCAAAAGGTATATAAAAAATACTTTTAAAGAAAAATGGGAACACTCCATACTAAAACTTATGAAAGGCAACAAAAGCAGTTCTAAGATGGAAGTTTATAGCTCTAAGTGCCTACATTAAGAAAAATGAAGCTCACAGGTAACCTAAATATATACCTCATGAACTAGATAAATGAGGACTAAGCTCAAAGTTGGCAGAAGAAAAAAAATAACAAAGACCAGAATAGAAATAAACAAAATAGTGACTAGAAAAACTATTAAAAAATCAATGAAGCTAAGAGCTTGCTTTTTTGAAAAGTTCAGCAAAATTGACAAACTTTCAACTAGACTACGTAGAAAGAAGACCCAAATAAATGAAATCAGAACTAAAAGAGGAAACATTATAATTGACACAACAGGAATACAAAAGATTATAAGAGACTACCATGAACATTATATGCCAAAAACGTTGGATAATCTAGAATAAATGGATAAATTCCTAGAAACATGCAACCTTCCAAGACTAAATTGTGAATAAAAATTTGAACAGAACAATAGCAAGTAAGGAGATTAAATCAGTAATCAAAAACCTCCCAACAAAGAAAAGCCTAAAACCAGATGGTTTTAACTGATAAATTCTACCAAACATTTCTAAAATAATGCTAATTACTCTCAAACTCTTATAAAAAAATTGAAGATGAGGGAACATTTCCAAACTCATTTTATGAGGCCAGTATTACCCTTTTAACAAGCCAGACACTAGAAAAAAAGAAAAATACAAAACTACAGACCAATTTCTCTGAAAATGGATAGAAAAATTCTCAACAAAATACTAGCAAACTGAATTCAATAGCACATTAAAAGTATCATACACCATGATCAAGTGGGATTCATCCCTGGAATGCAAGGATGGTTCAACATGCACAAGGCAATAAATGTGATACACCACATTAATAGAACAGAAGATAAAAACCAATGGTCATTTTAATAGGTACAGAAATTTTTAAAAAGATCAACATTTTTATGTAATAAAAACGCTCAACAAATTGGGTATAAAAGGAATATACCCCAATATAATAAAGGCCATATATGACAGACCTATAGCTAACATTATGCTAGATGGTGAAATGTTATAAATCTTTCCCACTGAAATCAGGAACAAGACCAGGGTACCCTCTCACCATTCCTATTTAACATGGTACTTGAAATTCTTGTCAGAACAGTTAGGCAAGAAATAAAAATAAAAGGCATCCAATTGTTGTCTAAGAAGTAAAATTGTCTCTGTTTGCAGATTATACAATCTTAGATGTGAAAAATGCCAGAGACTCCACCAAAAAACTCTTAGAACTAATCAACCAATTCAGGAAAGTTTCAAGATTCAAAATTAGCATACAAAATCAGCTGTGTTTCTATACAGTAACAATAAAGTATTTGAAGAAGAAATTTTTTAAAATACAATTACAACAGCATCAAAAGCAATTAAATACTTAGGAATAAATCTAAACAAGGCAGTGAAAAATTACAAAACATTGATGAAAGAAATTGAAGAAGACACAAATAAATTGAAAGCTATCCCATGTTTGTGGATTGGAAGAATATTGTTAAAATGGCCATACTACCCAAAGCTACCTATAGATTTAATGGCAGTTTTCACAGAAATAGAAAAAAAATCCTAAATTCATATGGAACCACAAAAGACCCCGAACAACTAAAGCAATCCCGAGAAAGAAGAACCAGGCTAGAGGTATCACACTTCCTGATTTCAAACTATATTACACACTTATGGTAATCAAAATTATTTGGTACTGGTACAGAAAACAGACACATAGACTAATGGAACAGAATCAAGAGCTCAGAAATAAGCCCATACATATATAGTCAACTAATATTTGACAAGTTAGCCAAGAATACTACAAGGAGAAAGGATGGATAGACTCTTTGATAAATGGTGCTGGGAAAAACTGGATAGTCACATGCAAAAGAATGAAATTGGACTCCTGTCTTACACCACTCACTATAATTAACTCAAAATAGATTAAAGACAAAAGACCCCAAACTAAAATTTCTAAAAGAAAACATAGGTGCCCTAACCGGTTTGGCTCAGTGGATAGAGCATCCGCCTACAGACTGAAAGGTCCCAGGTTCGATTCTGGTCAAGGGCATGTACCTCGGTTTCGGGCACATCCCCAGTAGCGGGTGTGCAGGAGGCAGCTGATTGATGTTTCTCTCTCATTGATGTTTCTAACTTCTATCCCTCTCCCTTCCTCTCTGTAAAAAGTCAATAAAAAATATTTTAAAAAAAAAGAAAGAAAACATAGGGATATGGCATTAGTTTGTTTTTTTAATTATGTATTGAATTGGGGAGTACGGCTTAGTGGTTAGACAATCATATGCTTTACATCGCGTTCACCATGATGTTTCCAGTTCCCAACTGACACCATTCATAATTACCACAATATTATTAACCGCATTTCCTATGCTTTACTCACTTCCCCTAGATATTTTGTAACTTCCTGTTTGTGCTTCTTAGTCCTTTCACCTCCTTCACCTAGTGCCTCAACATTTTCTCCCCTCTGGCAACCACCAGTTCTCTATTTCTATGAATCTGTTTCCATTTTGTTTGTTCCTTTATGTTGTTCTTTGTATTTCACACATAAGTGAAATCATATGGTATTTGTCTTTTTCTGACTTATTTCACTGAGCATAATACCCTCTAGGTCTAGGTCCATCCCATGCTGTTGCAAATGGTAAGATTTCATTCTTCTTTATGGTCGAGTAATATTCCATTGTATATATGTGCCACAACTTTTTTAATCCCCTCGTGTATTGATGGGCACTTGGGTTACTTCTATAGTTATTGTAAATAATGCTGCAATAACCATAGGGATATGGATATGGATATATATATATAATATATAATATATAATATATAATATATAATATATAATATATAATATATAATATATAATATATAATATATATAAAACATATGTGTGTATATATGTATATATGTGTATATATACTGGTATACATATATATGTGTGTATATATATATATATATATATCCATCCATCCTCAGGCAAGGGAAACAAATAAAAGAGAAAAAAAATAAATGAGATTATATCAAACTAAAAAGTTTTTGCACAGCAAAGGAAACCATCACAAAATAAAAAAGAACCTACTAAATGGTAAAACATATTCTCTGATGACACATCTGATAAGGGGTTAATATCCAAAACTTATAAAGAACTCACACTACTCAACACTAAAAAAAAATCCAATTTTAAAAATGGGTAAAGGATCTGAATAGACACTTCTCCAAAGAGGACATACAGATGGTCCATAGACATATGAAAAGGTGCTCAATGTCACTAATCATCAGACAACTGCAAAATAAAACCACAATGAGACATCACCTCACACCTGTTAAGAGTGGCTATCATCAATAAATTAACAAACAACAAGTGTTGGCGAGGATGTGGCAAAAAGGGAACACTAGGGCACTGTTGGTGGGAATGCAGATTAGTGCGGCCACTATGGAAAATAGTATGGAGCTTTCTCAAAAGATTAAAAAGGGACCTGCCTTGAAACCCAGTGATTACACTTCTGGAGCTTTATCCAAAGATACCCCAAACACTAATTCAACATTAGTCTTGACATTGATTTCACATCAAATCATCACATTGCACATCTTAAACTTGCACATGTTGTATGGCAATTATATCTTATTAAGGCTGAAAAGAATAAGACATTAAGTAAAAACCAAGGACATTTTAATAAAGTTTGTCATAATGTATCAATATTGATTCATTAGTTGTGGTAAATGACAATAGGGGAACATTGGGGAAAGTGGGTATGAGGTGTATGTGAACTCTTTGTACTATCTTGGCAACTTTTCTGTAAATACAAAACCACCCTAAAATTTAAAAATATAATTTTTTAACAAAGAAAATATTTAAGATGCCTGGCCCCATTTTTGTTGCGGGTCTTTTCTGAGAGAAGAAGGTCATTATGCTGATGTTCTTGGGTCAAAAAGTAAATCTGTCTAGATACGCACATCTACGAGTACAAACATCCCTATCGATGTCTTCAATAGTGGTGAATCCGGTGGCTGCTTTTATAATATGAGCCATTTAATACAAATGCAATTAGCCTATTTTGATGTTAACAATGTGTCATTTCTTCTTGTAGTGTCCTGGCCGGTTACAATGGCACCATCTTTGCATACGGGCAAACAGGCAGCGGTAAGACCTTCACCATCACGGGCGGGGCAGAGCGCTACAGCGACAGAGGCATTATCCCAAGGACACTGTCGTACATTTTTGAGGAGTTGCAAAAGGTATAGGACTATAGGCTCATTTTGCATTTGATATATTCAGCAGAAATTTATTGTGTGCAAAATAGTTATTTTGACATTTTATCATATTGTATCAAAATGAGAAAGTATTATTGTGGAATATTTCTGTCCTTGAGATTGAAGGGGAGTTTGGAGTTTTGCTGACACCGCGGAAATTGAGAAGGTGCCTCTCATTAAAGGGATCCTGTTCCAGCAAAGACTCAGAGGGGGCTCCTCTGACACACACGTAGGTTAAAAGAACAGACAACACATTTTACAACTAATATTTCTTATTCTTCATTAAGAAACCAGAGAATGCCCTTTTGCCAAAACAGACCTTTATTTTAGCTGCTAAAGCACTGAATAGGAGAATGTGATTGTTCCCTTATCACACTTTTAATAGAAGCCCATAGGAATTTACTGGAGTAAAAGTCCTATTGCAATTAATCTATACTAATAAAAGGGGAATATGCTAATTAGACCAGACATATTCCAGTCATCCTTCCAGATGTCCTTCCGGATAAAGCCACGGTGGCGAGGGCCGAGGCAGAGGCAGTTATGGACGGCCAGGCCAGCAGGGGAGCAGTTAGGGGGTGGCCAGTACGGCAGGGGACCAGTTAACGGGTGATCAGACTGGCAAGCAGAGGCAGTTAGGGGCGATCAGGCAGGCAGGCAGGCGAGTAGTTAGGAGCCAGTGGTCCAGGATTGCGAGAGGGTGCAGGCTGGGCTGAGGGACACTCCTCCACCCCCGTGCACAAATTTTGTGCACCGGGCCTCTAGTATTTCTATAAAGACAAATTCCCTATCTATATTATAAGCATCATTTATTGTGTGGCTCCAAGTGCCACTTGCTTTATAAGTATTTAATACAACATATAATACAACTAACAAAGTAGGCATCCTTATCCCCATTTTATATTTGGGAAAACTAAGTCTCAGATTAAATGTCTTTCTCTGGGTCCTTGTAAGTAGCTGGTTGGAGGTCCATGCCAGGAGTGCGTGTGCTTTCTGTCTCCATGCACGCTGCCCAGGCTGGATCTGCTGTGCTGGTTGTGTCTAAACACATTCTCTCCTGTGAGCCACTTCTCTGAGCTTCAGCTCTCCCTCTGTGGGAGCAGGGAGTGAGTCGTACTAGAGCAGCCGTGGGCAAACTACGGCCCGTTTGAAATGAATAAAACTAAAAAAAAAAAAGACCGTACCCTTTTATGTAATGATGTTTACTTTGAATTTATATTAGTTCACACAAACACTCCGTCCATGCTTTTGTTCCGGCCCTCCGGTCCAGTTGTGGCCCTCGAGTCAAAAAGTTTGCCTACCCCTGTACTAGAGGATCTCCACAGTCCCTAGCAGTTCCAAGTGCTCAGTTGTCCTAATTCTGTATAACCAATGTCCTAACTAGGTCAGTGTAACAGTCATCACAACATTTCTCAACTGTATGCTGTTTGCATTTCAAGTTGCAACAATGAGAAGAAATCGCTGAGATCTGCATAATTCTAATTTCCATCCATAAAGTAGCAATTACCCATTAGTTCAGCTCATCTCTCACTAGCTCACACATTCCAACTCCGCCTGCCAGAATATTAGGAACAGAAAGAGTTGAGTATAGCGTATATGTTGAATCCAAATCCCTTCTTTTCATTTACTCATTTATTTGTGACATTAGCTGCTTTGTTTTTCCCCAGATCTCACAAACTGGGGATATGCTTTGTCTTGGTGCTTATTGCTGAGGCCTAATGTGGAAGCCTGGTGTCTAGGCGAGGTCATGGGAGTCATGCAGGCCAGCCCGCTTCTACTTGCAGCCTGTGGACTTGGGCAGTTTCTTAAAGGTCCGGGATGTGGGGTTTCTCTGAGAGCTGAGCTTACTGTACTTAAAGACATCGCCCAGTTCTTGGCACGTAGTAGGTGCTCAATACGTAGTTGTTATTACTACAGCTGTCAATGTCCACATGCAGCAGGTTCTCGGATAACGCCCTCTCCTTCAGCAGGCACATTATGACGCTGATAGATGCCGCAGGAACTTAACTCTGGTGTCTGTCTATTAGCCTCTGGTAAAATTGGTTTGATTACATGTCATTTCTCTTAAAGCCACAGAACTTAGTGACAACATGGAGGACTTCTTGTGCTATATAGGCATATAGACAAAATATCCCTGACCAATTTCAAATAACCCTTTGAAACGCAGAACACATAAAGTCATTTCCCCTGATAAAGTTAAACAGAATAAACAAATCCTTTCCTAATAGAAAATATATTTGTCTCTTTGCAAATTTTGTCTATGGCTATCAAAATACACACACACACACACACACACACACACACAAATACAGTTCTAAAAGTCTACCTGTCTCCCCAGTACCTGCCATGTGTCAGGTGCATTGCTTTATGTGTTTGTCATTGACATTACTCTAGACCCCATTTCATCCTGAGTGACCCTGCGTTTGGAGAGCGGCCATCGGACCAATTTACAGCCAGGACAACTCTCTGTAAATGGACAGTTTCCACGCTGGGGGAGCAGCACGTTCATTGTAATCTAACTGAGCTGCGGCAAAGCCAGGCAAAGGCAGCTGGAGTGCATCACAGAAAGTGTCCAGAAAGTGCAGCCGCAACATGCAGCCAGGTGCTCGGCTGTCCCCAGTCATAGCCGTAGAGGCCCCGTGAGCTCTCTAGGGTTCTTGAATAAAACATTTGACGTATGCGGAGTATTTATTCTGAGATAAACTAAGAGCGAGTACATACCGGGCCCGAAAGTGCCTGTGAGTGCGGTAGGAGCACATTCTCAAGGATTTTAAAAGAAGAAAATTGAGTCCATTATTTTAGAAATCACTGCTCATTCTTTTAGAGTACTGTGAGGCTCAGACTTGTTTGGGGCAGAAGAGAAGGCTATCTGCAGGCAACACGTGTGTTACATTACAATCCGGAGCACTGAGAGAGCCCTAAGGAAAGACGGCTCCCACATCGCTAGATGAATTCTACTCCAGTGAAAGCCCAGAAACTGCAGAAGCTGGGGGCCAACCGCATTATCCCTATCACCTCAGGCCGTGGGCCTGCAGTCTTCCTGACTTTTTCTCATTCCTTCTAATTTCTGGAAAGAGAGTTTCTCCAGTGTAAATGAACATTCAAGTTAGCTGTTCTTTCTGCCTCTTTTCCTTTCTTTTTATATTCACATACTGAATTCTCCATTTGAAGGTTTTAGAAAGAATCAACATAATGACAACACCAACAATAACAGCAGCAACAGCTACAGTTTATTGGAGTCTATTGCAGGCCACACATTTAGGGTGTATTTTAAATACAGAGCCCTATTTTTCTCACAACAGATCTGCAAGATAAGGATGACTGTCCCCATTTTCCACTGAGGATAAGGGTATAAATGACAGAGCCCATATTTAAGCCTCGTCTTTTGTCTGATGCTAAGATGAGTTCAGAGGTATATGCTCAAACCTCAAACCATAATCTGGAATATTTAAGATATCTTCAGATAAGTTTTAGGAACATGTTGCACTGGCCTATAATGTGCTCTGAGAATCTTCCAGAGAGAAACAGCATATACAGGGTAGGGCAAAAGTGGGTTTACAATGGCCCGTATGGAAAATAATACAATCTACACTAATAAAAGACAAAGATGCTAATTGACCATACCTTTGCTATGCCCTAAGCCACACCCATCAGCCAATCAGAGCGACTATATGCAAATTAACCCAACCAAGATGGCGGTTGGCAGCCTCGGAGCTGGAGCAAGCAGGAGGCTTGGTTGCCTGGGCAATGGAGGAAGCCAAGCTTCCCGCCTGCCCTGAGCCAGCTGTGGCCTCCACTCATGGCAACAAAGTTTCAATTATAGAAGACAAATAAATCCCAGATACCTGTTTCCAGCCAGCCTCCACTGGGAACTTGGGTGGCTGGGGGCTATGGCCAGCCTGCAAACAGCCATCAGCCCCTCACCCAGGTTGGCCACACCCTCATAGGGTGAGGGTCCCTGCTGGGGGGGCTTAGCCAGCCTGAAAACGGCCCTCAGCCCCTCACCCAGACTGGCCAGGCACCCTGGAGACCCCCACCCTGAAGGGGCTGTGGCCAGCCTGCAAACAGCCATCAACCCCTCACCCAGACTGGCCAGGCACTCCTATATAATAAAAGGGTAATATGCAAATTGACCCTAACAGCAGAAAGACTGGGAATGACTGGTCACTATGACACACACTGACCACCAGGGGGCAGACGCTCAATGCAGGAGCTGCCCTCTGGTGGTCAGTGCGCTCCCACATGGGGGAGCTCTGCTCAGCTACAGCCAGGCTGATGGCTGCCAGTACAGCGGTGCTGGTGGGAGCCTCTCCCGCCTCCTCAGCAGCGCTAAGGATGTCCGACTGCAGCTTAGGCCTGCTCCCCACTGGCAAGTGGACATCCCCTGAGGGCTCCCGGGCTGCCAGAGGGATGTCTGACTGCCAGCTTAGGCCCAATCCCCCAGGGAGTGGGCCTAAGCCAGCAGGTGGTCATCCCCTGAGGGGTCCCAGACTGCGAGAGGGCAAAGGCCAGGCTGAGGGACCCCCCCCCCCCCCCAAGTGCACAAATTTTTGTGCACCGGGCCTCTAGTAATTAATAAATAATAATGCAAGAATAAACTCTGTTTCGCATACCCACAACTGCACACCTACTTTTGCCCACCCTGTATGTGTGGACCATGGATCAGTTTTCCATGAGTATTTCATGGCATGTTTTAGGAAACACTGCGTTAGAATAAAGGCCACACAGAGTCTGTCTAGTATTTATCATCTCTGATGCCTGCACTAAGCCAAACTTAAAGCCAAACTTAAAGCCAAAGGATCATGTCGGAATGGTGCCGTCACGGCACTAGGATGCTAGTGTAACTCATGGATCCCTTGCAGGAGAAGCAGCCGGAGACACCCACATGGGTAGTGTTTCCAACGTGCAGTTGGGAGAAATCTTTTGCATGGAGATTCAGTCCATGCCGTCACCTTCACAGAGCAGGAGAACGTGAAGTTTCAGCTGGGGCTTGAACATTTTCCTACAGTCATGTGCTGGCTGAAACTTGCTTTAATTTTCCATGTATTAGTTTGTTTTAGTGAAATGGTGGTATCTTTATTTCAATCGTTTGAGCCATTTCAGGACCAGCGAATTGTATTACTTTTAATGTGAAGAGCATGTAAGAATTCATTATCCAGCTTCCTTACTTGAATGCTATGGCAACTGAGGCCTGACATAGCAGGGCTCACAGCTGGTAGAACTAGGACTCCAGCTTCTCTCCCCATCTCTGCGGCTGGTTGAAAAATTCTCTGTTTTATTCCACTGCAGTGGGAGTGTGTGTGTGTGTGTGTGTGTGTGTGTGTGTGTGTGTGTCTGTTGACAGAGCTAAGGCAAGAACCAGAGAACCAGTTCCCTCAACTTTTTATCCTGATTTCCTTGACACCTATGCCATCACATTTCAGCATGGCCAGTAGCAGGACAGTCCTGATTTGCCACTTGGGCCAAAAAAATAACCAGGTAAGGTATAGGCAGTGGACTGGTAATGTCCACCCTGTGATTACCTAATTGACCTAAACCATTTCTGTCCCCTGAATTAACTTTACATTAGCTAATTATTGTCCATTATCTATTTATGTCCTTAGAAATTTGGCATATTAGAAGAGTTTAAAAAGATTCGTGATTAAAGATGAAAACTCTTTTGCTACTGAAGTTTTTAAACCAAAGTAACAATTCTGTGTTCTTTTACGAATAGACTGTTCACAGAATGTAAATTTATTTTTTCTTAGTAACCTTTCTTTTTTTGGTCTGGAACGTACAACATGGTGTTATAGAGTTCTGCAACCGCGTCAGCTAATTGTAAATGTGTATTGACTTTTGACGTATTATGTGGAACCAATACAAAGTAACAAACTGAAGTTGCTTGTAATCATAGGTATTGGCCATTAAAAAAAAAAGCTTCGTGCTTATGGTAGCTGGCAACTTGAAAGTGTCACGGACCGAACATGTAAACCGTACAAAGTGAGAGAGAAACTGTGAGGAAGCTACACGATCAATGTGTTCATCTTCCTCTGCGCTGAATCGTCGTTAGAGCCATTAAATCCCGTCTCTCCCTTTTCCTATCAGGACAGCAGCAAAATATACACAACGCACATTTCTTACTTGGAAATCTACAATGAATGCGGTTATGATCTCTTGGATCCAAGACATGAAGCCTCCAGTTTGGAAGACTTGCCGTGAGTAGCAGAACAACAAAGAACGGGGAGAATTGCTTTCAGATGTTTCCTGCAATTGTTTTCTCTGAAACTTTGCATGTTTCTGGTCTCAACTGTAATTAACAACCACTGGATAACAGAATCCTTTTGTAACATAATGGATGCTTTTTCACTAGTGATAGGAACTCAAATAGCTTAGGACTCACTTCTTGGGGAAATCTCTTGGCGTTGGTGCAGGGAGGGCAGTGAGCGTCCTGGGAGTGTGAGCTGAGAGGACCGATGGGACCAGGCAGTCCTCTAATCCTATTCCATGGAACCCTTTACCCCTCCGACTGTGGCCTTTCTCTGAAGAAGGTATTCAAATTAGGCTTCCAGCAGCAAGGAGAGAATCTGAAAGAGAGAAAATGCCCGAGTAGCAAAAACAGCTTCTCGACTATCATTAAGACTAACAGTGACAATCACGATTGGCACTGGTGGTTTCGTGACAGAACTATAAATAGAGTCTTCAGAGCTTATCTAATAATAGAGTAAGTTACCCTGCCAGCATTTCTATAACATTACTCACTGCTTGTTTGAATATCTGCCTAAATTAGACATATGTTAATTGGTAACTGCATATACTTTGCCCAGACATCTTCATATATCAGAAGATGCCAGAGCCAAGAAAACACACTTTAATATTCTTCTTATTAAATATTCTAAAACAATTTAAAAGTATATTAATCCTCTACCAAAAAAGATCAACAACCAGTTGTTTAATTTGTAACCCACCTTTATATATATGTTCTCCTATTAATGTTGATTGAATGTTTTTACATATCATCTCTCTTATGTTTACAGTATTCATTAGAGAAAGTTAGAAAAGGGGATGTTTGTTGGTACAATAAATATTTGTATAAGAATTAAAGGGAAAGAAAGAAAAGGATTGAGAGGAAGGAAAAATTACTTAATGCGTGTAAGAAATTGGTCTTAAAGAAACTATTGGAATTATGTTTACAAAAAAGGTAAACATTTCCTATCACTACTAAAAAAATATCCACTACATTACAAAAAGATTCTGTTGTCCAGTGTTCATTAATTACCATTGCCACCAGAAAGAGTGGCTTCACACGCTCTTGAACTGGGAGCAGCTCTCACGGAAGTCCTGCCTGTCTAGTTCCCTGTTTCATTGTGGTGAGCTGACATATACCAAACACTCTGGGTACCATCCAAAAAGGTAAAACTCTCCTCGTAGGAACAGCAGCATTAATGATACGAGGTGAGGTTGGACAGGCCAGGTGTTGAGGATTTGTGTGAAGTAAAAGCCAGCTTCTGAGGGACTCAGACAAGAGGCTTGGGTGAGAGATTGCTCTTCATTTTAACAGGTGACTTAAGTCATTTTCTAGCTCCAGTCTGACCTACTAGTATATACCTCCTGGCTAAATCTCCCTTAAAGCTACATTGAACAAGTCACATCTACACTGAAGAACTTAAACCAGCTTAGCAATAATCCAGAAGTGAAGGGCTTGGCTATAATGAACATGAAAGAGGAGACGTAACATGTAAGGAGAGATATGCAACAATAAATAAATGAGAAATAAAATTAATTGATTATGCTCAGCACCTTGGCTTTGATTGGATTGGAAGAGAAGGTGAATCGTGTAGGTTGGCGCCCTCCTCATTTTCCTGGTTGAGGAAAGGAAGCTGTAAGAGGTGTGACTTGCCCAGAGTTTCAAAACTAATGGGTTAATGGTAGAGCAAGGATGAAAAACTAGCGCTCTCACCTTCATCCCAGAGTAGCAAAAAGAGCTTCAAGATCTTAGTGTGGGGCATAGAGAACTAAGGAGTCGTGGCCCTGAAAAGGAGCTCCAATTGGGAAACCTGACTGGGTTGGGGGGCCTCCCTATACATGAAGTCAGAGTGCCAGACCAACGTCCATCTATTTGCAAATGTGACTAGTCCTTTAGCAATGAGTTTTTAGATGCAATACCAAGGCATGATGTGTGAAGGAAAAAATAGGTAAGTTGAACCATGAAGTTCAACTTGTATTTATTATTTTTGTTACCCAGCTATGGACTCAGCCTTTCTATAAGAAACCCTGTTTTTTTTTTATTGTTGTTGTTTTTTCCAATCTATTTAAACTAAAAAACAACAACAAATAAACACAAAAACCAGTTTACCCATTCCTTCCACCCCAACTTCTGGTAACCCTAATCTGTTCTTTGTATCTGTGAAAATTTACAACACAAAGAATGACCCCTAATGTAAATTATGGACCTATAGTTAATAAAACAACAATAGCAAAAAAGGAATGCATTATTACTACATTTAACAACTTGAGTGAATCTCCAGGGTGAGTGAAAAAGCCATTCCCAAAAGGCTAAGTGCTGTATGATATTATTTGCAAATCTATCTAAAAATATTTATGTAATATTTTTAAATGGCCAAGTTATAGAAATAGATAACAGATTCCTGGTTGAAGGAATTAGGGAGGGAAGTGGGGATGGTTCTCCAGGCCAGAGCGGGATCCTTGTGATGATGGGCTATTGTGTATCTTGACTGTGGCTGTGGATACACAAAACTGCCTACGTGACTCAAACACACACAAGTACAAGGAAAACTGAAACGTCCGAATAGATCAGTGGATTGTGTCAATGCCATTGTCCTGGTTGTGATACCTCGGATACAGGTACATGGGATCTCTCTGCATTATATCTTACAGCTGCACGTGGATCTGCAGTGATCACAAAATAAAAAGTTTAATTAAAAGTAATTGGCTCCTCTGTCAAATATTAATTGACCATAGAGGCATGGGTTGATTTCTGGGCCACTGTTCTGTTCCACTGATCTATAGGCCTGTTCTTGTGCCTGTACCAAGCTGATTTGATTACAATGGACTTGTGCTGTGGTTTAATATCCAGTATTGTGATCCCTCCAACTTTGTTCTTCTTTCTCAAGATTGCTGAGGCTGTTCTGGGTCTTTTTTGGTTCCATAAAAATTTTTAGGATATTTTTTTCTAGATCTATGAAATATGCCATTAGTATTTTAATAGGGATTGCATTGAATCTATAGATTGTTTTGGGTAGTAGACATTTTAATGATATTAATTCTAACAATCCATGAACATGGTATATGCTTCCACTTATTTGTATTTTCCTCGATATCTTTCTTTAATGTCCGATAGTTTTACCTCCTTGGTTAAATTTATTACAAGTACCTTAGTTTGTTGTTGTTGTAATAGTAAATGAGATTGCTTTCTTAGTTTCTCTTTCTGATAATGCATTATTGGTGTATAGAAATGCCGTTGATTCCTGGATATTTATTTTGTATCCTGCTACTTTGCCAAATTCAAAGCAATATGGAGTTTCTTCAAAAACTTAAAAATGGAACTGCCTTTTGATCCCACTTTTGGAGATATATCCTAAGACTCCTGAAATACCAATCAGAAAGAATATATGCACCCCTATGTTTATAGGAGCATTGTTTACAATAGCCAAGATCTGGAAACAGCACAAGTGCCCATCAGTAGATGACTAGATAAAAAAGCTGTGGTACATTTACACAATGGGACACTATGCATCTGTTAAAAAGAAGGATCTCTAACCTTTTGCGGCAGCATGAAATAAGCCAGTCAGAGAAAGACAAGTATTATGGTCTCACTTATATGTGGAATCTAATGAACAAAATAAGTGACAAACAAACTAGAAACAGAAGCATGGATACAGAGGACAGACTGACAGCTGTCAGAGAGTAAGGGGGTGGGGCAGACAGGATGAAAGAAGGTAAAGGGAATAGCCAAAAACTTATATGCATAGTGCATAGACACAGATAAGAATGCAGTGAGGGCCAGAGGAGGGGAGGGTGGGCCTGGGTGGAAGGGAACAAAGAGGAGGAGCAATGGGGGACATCTGTAACAATGTCAACACTAAAAATAAAATATAATTTAAAAAAGTAATTGGCTATATACTTATATAGAGATATATATGTATATACACACATATGTGTATTAAGTCTATTCTTTATTTAGTAATTTAAATGAAAATAGAACCTCTGTTTTTGAAAGCTCTTTATATCATATGCTATAGTTAGAATCTAAGTGTGTCTCATGAAGTAAAACAGTATAACTGCTGGTCTCAACTGTAGGGAAAATAGTCACCTTACTTTGGTGTAATTTTAGTATTCCTAAATAGGGACACATATTCCATTTAAGGTTCCAAAGTTGGTCATGGTTATTATTGTTACAAAGAAAGTCAGTAGACTTCAGAATCTAGTATTGAAATCTTGGCTGTGTTGTGTTTTTTAAGTAATTTGTCATCAAAGGAAAAAAAAGAGTTGACAAATGTTAAATTTGATTCACCAGGTTCCTAATACCTGATCAATGTAAAACACTGCCAAGTGCCCCGGGAGTTACAAAAAGGATTAATGCTCAGCCTCTGTCCTTGTGGCTTTAGTCTAGTCCTGTGGAATCACTCAGTTACTCTGTAAACATTTCTCGAGATCCAATTCTGTTCCACACACTGTGCTGGGCACTGAGTTTACTAACTTGGTCTTTGCTCTCCTGGAACCTATCGAGTGGGCAAAACTAGTGCAGAACAGCATAAGGAGGAATATGAGCAGCATCGTAAGAGAGGCACCAGAATGACAAGCGCTTACAGGAGAACGAAACCACAGCAGGTGTGCGACCAGGGAGAGATTCATGGAGAAGGTGACAGGTGAAGTAGTCCCTGAGGGGGCATAGGACGGGCAGTGGGTGTGGCTTCTATGTGGAAACAAGGTAGGGAAGTTGATGTGTGTAGCTCGTTCTGTGACAGTTACGGACCTGTGGGGCTGGGACCAGTCAGGGAGTAGGTGAGAACAGTAAGACTGAAAAGATGAGTGTGAGGATTGGACAGTCAAGGGGTAGCCCTTGGGGATGTTTATTCAAGGGCATAGCATAATTGGAGCTGCTTTTAGGAAGAAAAATCAGTCAGGAGTGACTCTCTCATAAAGGAGAGTCAGAGAGACCCCACAGCATTGTGGGAAGTCATTAGGGCCATTTAAG